AAGCAGCCCGGACTCCGGCCTTCTGGGGTGCTGCCCTCCCAGAGAAGGGGGTGAGGGAGGAAGAGGGAGAGAGAAGGAGAAGGAAAAAGAAGGATTGAGAGAGATGAGAAAGAAAGGAGAGAGAGGGGTGAGATAATTGAGAAGAAAAAGAGGGGGTGAGATTAATTGAGAGAGAGGGATATTGAGAGCGAGCCTTCACCCCCAGCTGCTGAGGGGAGCAGTTCTGAACGCAGGGCACCCCGCACAGCACCCAAGAAGAGCTGGCGTCTCTGTCTCTTGGACCCTGGCACAGAGCAGGGGGCTGGACATGGCTATTGTGAGACCATGGGCTTAAGCCAAGGACCTCCCTGGACCAAGCCATCGTCCACTCTGGGAGCCTGGCTCCCACAGAGGGGCTGCTCCCCTCAGGAAGTAAAAGGGGCGGAGAGGGGAGAGGCAAGAGAAAAAAGAGTGGGAGGCAGAGAGACGTACGCCCACAGAGAAACGCAAATGTGGACAAAGACAGACATGCGGGGGATGGAGCATGACCGTGACCGAGGGAAGGAGAGGAAGAGGAGGAAGAGGGGGTACTTCCGGGGCCCCGGGCCTGGCATCTCTCATCTCTACCGCGTGGCACCCATGAACCTGGATGCCTGTCCACTGCCCACTGGCTCCTGGGCCCCCTCCCTGCCCTCCGCCCTCCCCTCTGGGAATGTGGGTGAAGGGCCCCCAGCCTGCCCAGGAGGGAGACACTCCTGAGTGCTCCACCCCTGCCCTGGCGCCTGCTCACTCCCCAGAGGCAAGGCCATAACCTGCCCCTCATGGGGGGTGGGGGTCCTCCTCCTGCTTGGCTGCCCTATATGAGTGTGTGTGTCGGGGGGAAGTGGTGAATCCAGAGAAATAAGTGCCCCCCCCCCCCCCCGCACTTGGACTCAGCCCAGAGGAGGAGAGGGGAGGGAAGGAGTGGAGGGGCTGGGAGAGCCTAGGAATGGGGTTAGCCTCCAGGCTTTAGTCCCAGGAGGAGGGATGGAGATGGCCAGGGACGGGCGGTGTGTGGGCGGTGGTACTGCAGTGTCTGGAGGACCATGTACACATCCAAGTTCATCTTTCATGCTGGTGATTCGGGCTGGGGCTCAGCCTCTCTGGGCTCCACCCACAGTAAAAAGAGGGAATAGGACCTGGTCCCAGCCACCACTGAGGGGGCATATTTGCACTCACACGTGAAGTGGGTACCAAGAACTGTGCCCCGCACCTGGTGTGTGTGAGTGTGAGTGTGAGTGTGTGTGTGTGTGTGTGTGTGTGTGTGTGTGCTGGGTGGGCATGGGGAACAGAGGATTCCTATGCTGCCTGAGGCGGTCAAGGGCCCCGCAGCATGGGGTGGGGGTGCGAGTCACAACAGCCCCCCTTAGCGGGGGTGACACATCGTCTCCTGATTAAACTTGATTATCTGTCTGCTCGCTGGGTCCCCATGACCCCCACCTGCCCAGAAAACACTGTTTATAGGGCCTGGGCATCAGACCTGTCATTTAGCTGGAGGAGACAACCCAAGCCACAGGCGGGAGCCCAGCCTCTGTGGAGAAGCAGTGCCCAGCTCGCGGCGGGCAGCAGCCCAGACACTTAGTGCCCTGTTTACCCTGGCATGGGTGGCTGGCACAGGTGGGGCTCTCCAGGGAGCGGCCAGAGGCCCAGCCAGCAGACCCACCTGGAGGCCAAAGAGGACGCCAGGACAGAGGCTCTATGGAGCTGGGGGAGGGGGGGTGCATGGAGGGGCATCCAGCCCAGCTGCCACTGGTCCTGGCACTGCAGCCCACAGGGCACTGCTCCCCAAATTTTAGGGCCCCCTTAGCTGCCCTGCAGGAGAAAACTCACACCAGCCGAGGCCCACAGGGAGAAACCACAGCTCTAAGGATTCTGAGAGCCTCCCCCAAAGAAAGCAGGGAGGCTGGAGGAGAGGGGGGACCCCAAGCCTTTGGCGCCCTGGCCTGGCCTGGATGCCCCCAGGTCCAAGGGACTCGCTTCCAGCCCCCAAAGACACACACGTGTCTTCACTTAAGAGAGCATCAAGCCCCCCCCCCCCAGCCAATCACTGTAGAGAGGCTGCCCCCACCTTCTTCCTCTGTCATCCAGACCATGGAGACCAGACCCTCAGCCGCCACACCCAACATGCACATCGTCTTCTTACACGTGTCAGACACACCACGCTCTCCCCAGCTCCCCCTTCCCCCCATGTAACCCACACTCCACAGTGAGGTCACACACGCTGCTCCTCCCGTCTCTACCCTTCCCCCCCTCCTCTGCCAGCCCCTCTTTCCACTCGCTGCCCCCTGCCTTCTGCCCCTCTCGCCTGCCTCTGGGCCCCTGGCCCGGAGGCCTCATCCTCTCCTCTCCCCATCTGCTCACGGTGGGAACCTTGAAGGCTGCGCATCCCGGGCAGCTGCTGGCAGCTACCACTCCTCCGCCCGCAGGCCCCAGGGGCTGGGGCTGCAGGGGAAGGGGAGCAGCCCCTAGCAGTTGCTCAGGACCTCACTTCCCCCTGCTCTCTGTCCCCCTCCGTGGACCTGGATTCCCGCCCCCCACCTCCATTCCAGGCTGAGTCATCCCCACATCTGGAGCCGCTGCACATCTGGAAGAGCTGAAGCTATGCAGACAACTCCACGTGGACGCCCCTCCTCCAAACCCCATCGCACCCCCACCTCTACTGACAGCTGGGGTCTGGTCCCTCAACTCGCACCTGGGCCAGGCCCTTGGTCACCTAGCAGGCACCCCGGTGACGGTGACGCCACAGGACACCCGCCAGCCTCAGGGTCTCTCCCCAGTAGCAGCAAATGCCACCACGCCACGCGGTGCCCACCCCCCTGGGTGGCAGGGCAGGGCCGGCCTTGGGGGAAGCCAGGCCCGGCCTGGGGCCCGGGAAGGAGGTGAGCCAGGCGCTGAGGAGGCAGTGGTTTGGCCCGGCAGGCGGAGGGAGTTTATCCTGGCATCTGGCCCCGAAGCCAAACATCCTCCTCTAACCTCGCAGACACATCAAAGCCGGCGGGGAAGGGGCCCTTCGGCAGAGGAAACCTGCAGTCCTGGCGGCCTGACAGCCCGGCTCCGAGCAAGGGACCACCCTGTCCCCATCAGCAGCCCAAGCTCAGGATGGGGAGGGGGGAGGGGAGGGGCAAAGAGGATGCTCTACTGCTCTACCGTCCCTCTCCCACCCCTTCCCTGCTGAGGGTGGCACAGCTGCCCCAGGACGTGGCTGGGGCCCCTAGTGCAGGGCTCCCTCCCACGCTCACCCCTCCCACCCTCTAGGCAGGAGGGCCTGAGGGGGGCGCTCACCCTGTGCCCCACCTGGAGGAGGGGTGGGCGCCAAACTGTAGGGGCGCGAGGAAGGGGTGGGAGGGGAGGGGGCGCCCGAAGCTTTGGAAAATAGAAGCTGAAGTGGAGTCGGAAGAGGAGAACTGGGCTGCCAGCCACGGGGCCTCTCTCCGGGGACGGCAGGGGCCGAGGAGGAAGAGGGGCTGCGAAGCGCGAACAAGGGAAGGAGGAGGTGCTAACAGGGCCACTGGGGTGAGGGGATCCGCGAGCCCAGCTCCCTCCGGGCGGGAAGATAAGGCGGCCGGGGGCGGGGGCGGGGCCGGGGCCGCCACATCGGCACGGGAGCGGGGCGTGTGCACGCACGCGTGCCCCTGTCTGCACACGGGCGGGGCACACTGCACACGCCCACACCGGCGTGCGGCGTGCGTGCGCCCAGCTGAAGCGCAGCCTGTCCTCGGCGGGGGGCCAGCTGCTGTGAGCCAAGGTTTGCGGAAGAACCGATCCCTGCCGGCCCTCCCCCGCCCTCCGCTCTGCGCCGGCCGCCCAGGTCCCCGAGAAGCGATCCGCTTCCGGGGTGTCCGAGCTGCATCTTCCCCACCCGGCGCTCTGCGCCCCCAGACCCTCCCCTGAGGATGGCCCCCCACAGAGGGGCTACTCTGTCCACTGGCTGCCGGAACTCGCAGCTTCGCTGGGCCTGGGAAGTTCTTCTGAAGTCTAGCCACCATCCCCCTGAAACATTTGGATCGGAGACGGAGGGACCCCCGGGGGGGTGTGGGGGGGCAGTCGAGCCTTCTTTCAAGGGGCGGAACAAGAGCAGAGCTAGAAAGTGGGGGCCCTAGGGGATCCTCAAGCCTTTTCTTCTCTCGGGCTACAGGGTCCCATCTAAGAGTCAACAGTGAGGGTGGGAGTGGGGCTGCAGGCGGGGGGGGGGGGGGGGGGGGGAGGGGGAACGCTGGGAAGCCCTGGGGAGCAGGAGTCTCGGAGAGAGGCCACCAGGGCTGGGGGACTCTCAAGACCTTAACCTGGTCCTGGCTCAGCCCGTCCCGCCTGGGTCCTCTCTTCCCTCTGCCACCCCAACCTCCCTCAGGAGCCTCCCCTCCCCTCCCTCTCCCCACCCGGCCCTGGGGGGTGCCTCCCTCTCCACCGCTGGCCACGACGCCGGAAACCTACACTCGGGAAGGATAATGGCTCCCCAAAGCCGCTTTTGTCTCCGCTAAGCCTCGGAAGGTGAGCACTAGTCCAGCTCCTCCACCCGCTCATAAGGATAACAAGCTCCCTGCACCGCTAATTGGCAGGTGGCATGCCTCCCTCCGCCCTCCTGGCCCACAGGTGGGCGGCTCAGGCCTGGGGTCAACGCGCCACCCTCCCACCCATCACCCCAAGAATGAGTGAGGGGCAGCGGACTTCAGTTTCCAGAGGGATTCTGGGAGGGAGATTCGGACCCTGATCCCATGCCCAAGAATTCCTATTGGCAGCCCAACACGCATCCTGCCCCTCCTGGAAGGCGGACAGCGGGCCAAGCATTCCTTGCTGCTCACCCCGTAGGTGCTGCTGGATCCCTAGGGAGCCATTTGACTCACCAAGGGGGTGGTGTACAGCTGGGAGGGGCAGCAGGCAGAAGAGGTGGATTCCCCAAACCACACAGCCAGTGCAGCTGGGGAGCTCAGTCAGTCAGGAATGACCCCCCCCCCCCCCCCCAGCTCACAGCTCCCCACCGAAGACTTCAGGAATTCATTCCCTAAATTCATTCCCTGGAGAGATCTGGCCCCTGACCTCAGGAGGTCCCCAACCAGCTTCAGCTCAGTGACAACAGAGCCAGTGTTTACTCGGAACAAAGCACCGTGGGGAAATGAGCGCTGAATCAGAGCCGGGCCAGCCCCCGCAGCCGGGTGGGAACAGCAGGACGTGCACACATCTAGGGAGAGAGAGAAGGCCTGGGTGGGGGTGAGCAGGGAGGGAAGAGTCATTTCTTGCAGGAAGATCCAGGTCCTGGAAGGCTTTTGGGAGGAGGGGGTATTAGAGCTGAGCTTTGAAGATGGGGTGAGAATTTGTTAGGTTTCAGGGAGGGGTCTGGGGACTTGTGTTCTGGGGGGGGGGGGTGGAAGTCCCCCAAGCTCAGGAAAGAGGGGAGCAGGAAAGGGTCAGGTGTGTGGCTGGAGGACATGCGGGCAGGGCAGAGGAGCACACTGCCAGGCCAGGTCGGGGCTGGGCCTCCCTGAGATGGGACTTTGTTCAGGCAGAAGTCGGGGAGTCTCTGGAAATTAGGGAGCAAGAGAGTAGGCAATGGGGAGCCTAGGCTGGAGGCCTTAGGAAGATGCTTGTGATGGCCCTGGGGAGCCACACTGCCTGGGGGCAGTGACAATAGGCACACCCGTGACAAGCAGAGTCCCAGTCCCCCTGAGTGCTCAGCCTGAGGGACAGGCGGGTACCCACCATGAGGCCAACCCAGGCAGTGGGGGAGGAGAAGGGGGGGACAAACCAGAAATAGAGGAAATTTATCAAATGTCTGGTCCCAGCACCACTGTCACATCCGGCCTCCTGTGGCCTCCTAGGAGGAGTGGGCAATACCAACACCCTCTGAAGTAGGTCACCAGCCCTGTCTGACCTGGCCCTTGTCGGATGCAGAACACGGGATGGACAGCAGAGGGCGATAGGGAGCCAGCATTCTGGGGAGAGCCGTTCTCAGGAGGAAGCAAACCCTTAATTCCTTGTGGCCTCACTCTGCCTCTATGTGAAATGAAGACAGGGAGCTGTGGGCCTCTTTCTTTTGCCAGCAATAGAACATTTAGTGCATGTCGTTATTAAACTAACATTTATTTCCCATTGCTGTATTCCAGACACCGAGGGGCTTATTTCATCCTTATTATGACCCTATGTGATCCACCCCCCCACCATCGTTCACAGATGAGTTTAGAGACGTTAAGTTTCTTGACTAAGGTCACACAGCACCCCATAGTAACTGGCACACTTAGCAACACAACAGAACACCGTCCCTGCAGGCAGAGCTGGGCTAGAGCAGAATGTTCTGTGGGCTTCGAAAAGAAAGATCCCAGCCCACAGCCATAAGCCATTATGGATATGAGTATCCACCACAGTACGGTGGGGAGCAGGCAGAGAGGAACAGAACTTGGCCTGGCTCCTCCCCGTCACCCAGGGCCTGGGCTGGGCTCAGTCAGGCTTCACCAGGTCCCCAGGCAGGATTCTTCCGTCCGGGGCAGCAGCTGCCTCCTGAGGCTGCCTCTGAGTGTAGGGTCTTGAGACCCGTGTGGTTCTGGTCCTGACTCAGCCCCAGTGTCCCATGTGACTTGGCCTCCTCACCCCTCTGAGCTCCAGTTGGTTCCTTTGGTGGACTAGCTGACCTCCCAGGCCCTTCCAGCTGGGCCCTTGCAGGAGGCACAATCAGCTCGTTCTTTAGTGAAAGGGCCAGGGTGGTGGCGAGCGTGTATGAAGACATTTGGACTTTGTGCTCTTGGGAAATCCCGGACGGAATTGGTGTGGAATCTAGAGGGACCCACTGACTGCATGAGGTCTCTGGGCCTCGCTGCCCCTTGCACGCCTTGAGCACACATGTGCACGCTTGCACCCACTCCCCTCCCACTGCCAGATTAAGCCTTGAACAGAAGATGCCGGCTCTGTCCACGACCCTCCTGCCTCTACACAAGAACAGCCTCCTGTCTGCTCTGTCTGGGGTCCCACTGTGCCCCCGCCCCCACCCGACCTCACCCATTAAGAATGCTGGGGCCCTGGGAGCCATGGTGGATGCTGACAACAAGGGTTAGTGTTCTCGCCTGGGCTGAGACCACCCACCTCAGGCCCTTCCTCTCCCTATTTGCAGGAAGGAGCATAGAAGGGCCGTTCTGTGTCATGAAAAAGCTGGGGACCCAGAGGCAGGGTCCAGAGGCCCTCTGGCCCCCTCCCCATGGGCCTTACTTTCCCACTGCGGAGATGTGAGCCAGCGGCTGGAGCAGCTCTTCTCAGGTGCCTGCTCTATGACATTTCAGGGATGTGGGTAGCGTTGCCAGATCTAACAAATAAAAACACAGAACACCTAGTTAAATATGAATTTTAAATAAACAACAAATAAATTTTAGTGTAAATATATCCCAACTTTTGCACAGGGCATATGCATGCTGAAAATATCCATTCTTTATGTGACATTCAAATATAACTGGGTGCCCTGTATTTTGTCTGGCAACCCTAGACCTGTGTCAGGTGGATGCCAGAGAGCCAGAGGGAATGATGCCAGCCCTCCTCCTGCCCATCCCCAGGGCACTGGTGCCTGCCTGGTCCCTTTTCCTCAGCCCTCCCAGCCGCCCACGTCTACCCCACAAACTCCTCCATGCCCTCTTCAGCACCCCCATTTCACTCCCCAGGGTATCATCCTCCCCTAAACTCACCTACCTTCCCCTCCTCTAAGGGCCACGCCTCGGTAGGGCTCTGGGCCTGGGCAGAGTGGCAGCAGGTGTGATGGAGATACCCCCTCACCCAACCTTGAGTGCTGATGCAGTGAGGCCAGGGCAGGGTGGGAAGGCCTTAGAAGTCCAAGTTGGCAATGACTTCACCAAGGAGACAGCAGGATGGGCACTCTGGACTAGGCCCCCCTCAGCAGAGGGGCAGGCTGGGTACAGAGCCAACTGCGGGGGCATGAGGGAAGAGGTGCCTCCACCCCATGTACACTCCCTTCTGCAAGCTCAGCGTCTCCAAGAAAGAACAGAGAAGTCATTCTGTAGGGCCAGACCCTGATTCCACTTAGACCAGGAGACTAGAAGATTCTGTCCTTAGGGGCCAAAAAGGGACAAGAGATGATGAGAAAGAGAGACAGGGAAAGAGGAGGGAGAGGGAGAGGGAGAGAGAGAGAGAGAGAGAGAGAGAGACAGAGAAGACAGAGAGACACCAGGGAAAGATATACTGGCAGAGAGAGACCAAAAAGTTGGTGAGAAAAAACACATATAGAGACACAGGAAGTCAATGGAAACGGAGAGAGAAAACTAGACTCCTCATCTGAGACAGAATAAGGAAGAAAGGAGAAACACATGGGAAACAGGGGACACAGAGAAATGGAGAGAAACCGGGTGGAGACTAAAACAGGAAGAGGGACTGGGAGGAATGGGGAGCAGACAAGAAGCGTAAACACTGAGCAGAGATAACAGGACTGGGAGAGATGAGAAACAGAGATAAAGGACAGTGGTGCGAGGACGAGAAAAGGGGGCCGGCTGTCCTTCACACGAACCTGGGCATCGCTTCCAGGGGCAGAATCAGATTTGAGACCCAGCAGGAGACGGCTCACAACTGCAGGACTGAGCGTGTCCCGGACCCTCCCCTTTCCCCAGGCCCAGAGCAGCACCCCACCCACCATGTCCATGGCGCCCTCTCCCCAGGGGTCCGGGCTTCACCTCTCCAGCTCCCGCTGTTTCCACAGGTCTCATCCGTGTGTGGGCGTCTGGCTCTCATCCTGCGCCTATCACCCCCGAGACGGCACCCCACCCGGCCCATCAGCCAGCTCCCGAGGGGTGAGGGGGGGGTGGAGGTTTGGGGGGGAGTGTGGGAGACCCAGCCCCAAGTCCCAGGTCCCAGCCCAGCGTCCCGCGCTCCCGGGAAATCCCGGGTTGGGCGATGCTGCCACCTGCCGGCCGGACCCGGGAAGCACAGGACGCCTCGAGGGCCGGGGCGTGGCCGCGGAGGGTGGGAGCCGTGGGAATCCCGCCCCTCGGGGCTGGGACCGCCCGCGCGGGGTCTCCCCAGGAATCCGGGCGGACCAGTTCACCTGCGCCGAAGCTCCCGGGCCGCCGCTCAGCCCCATTTCGGACCCCGTGGCAAATCTCCAAACTCGGGGGCCTTCCTGGCCCCTGTGGTCAGAAGGAGGAAGTGCACGTAGGGAGGTGGGGGGACACGGCTGTCCCAGGGCTGTGCTCCTCGTCCTCCTGCCCCAGCAGTCAGCCGGGCCGCCTCTTCCTCCCTTCTTGGCAAAAAAAAAAAGAAAAAAGAAAAAAGAAAAAGAAAGAGAAAGAGAAAGAGAAAGAAAGAAAGAAAAATGGGGGTGGGGGCGACACTTTCCCCCATGCAATACCCTGAATCCACTCCAGAAGCTCCTTTCCCCTCCAGCTCTGCCCCGCAGGAGGCCAGGTGTGCGGGGACTGCCAGGGGCCCCCCAGCATCTTTTCGCCCCCTGCCCGGCGCCGCACCCCCCTTCAGCCTGGGGGCCACTTCGGGGTGGGGCAGTGGTGGGAGATGGGAGGGGTAGCTTAGCAGTCTGGAACTGACCCCACAATTTTTCTCAATTAACCTCGTCTACTTCCCAATTCCCCAAAGCCAACCCGGACCTCTCCGCTCTCCTTCCCGCCTCCACCCCGCCCCAAGGCCGGCCTCTCGCGGCGCACCCGAGGCGGGACCCCATAGGTGGAGACATGGGAGAGGTCGCGGCCCCGCCCCGCCCCGCCCCGCCCCGCCTCCCCGCCTCCCCGCCTCCCCGCCTCTCCTCCCCTCCCCTCCTCCCCTCCTGCCCTGACACACGGAAGCTCAGTGGCCCCAACGCCAGGATGTCGGACGCCTGGGTCCTCCGCCTCTTACCCTCCTTGCTGCTCGGCCTGCTGGCCGGCCTCCAACAGGTGAGCCATCGGGAGGTAAAGCTTTAGAACTGTCGGGGTCCGCCTGTGGGGGTCCGGGGCCGCTGCTGGAGCAGGGTCACCACCTCCCATTGTTAGGGTTTCCTCGTGACCACACGCCTCGAGCCACTTCCTTTCTCATTTTGCTGGGGAGGTGCAGGTGGGGGCAGCCGAGGGAAGCCCCGAAAAGGCCGGGGTTCCTTCGCCTTGGGGGACCCTCGCCCACCACCATCTGACACCTGGCACCTGGCGCCTCTGTGTGAGCGGGGACTTTGACCCGCACCTTAGCCTGGAATAGTCCTTCCCGCTCCTCGGTGCGTCAGAGAGCGGGAACTGTCTGGAACTGAGGTCCGGACGCCGGGCTAGCCGGTCTCCCCCGCTCTGTTCCTCTGGTGCTGGGTGACCTTGGGGAAGTCCCGGCCTTCTCTGGGCTGTTTGTTTGCTTGTGCCCTAGGGGAGCGCGGGCTCCTTAGTCCCTTTCTGCGAGTGGGGGTGGAAGCCCAGCCCCCTGGGGGGGTTGGATCTGGCTGCCTGACCCAAGGCTGACTCGGAAATCTGTGATTCTGCCAGTGGGCAGGCACGCCCTCCTCTCACACCCCCAGTGATGGGAAGTGCTGCCCAGCTCTGCGATGGGAGTCTAGAAGACAGGTTTCTAACTGCTGTTTAAGATCCAAGGGGAGTGCCAGGCTGGCTTCCCAGAACAGGGCACATTCACACGGCCGCGCTGACTGTCGGGGCTGCTTTGCCCCCCGAAGCCCTGGCACTCCTCGTGCCGTCGCTAGGCTGGGCATCCTCTTGTGGGTTCCTCCCAACATCTTCAGGGGGCAGGTGCTGCTAATGTCCCCAACTCATCCGTAAGTACAGTGTGAAGTCCTGCTCTGATTAACAACGGCTGTAGTGCTCAGAAGTGCGTTGTTAGGTGATTTTGTTGCGGGAGCCTCATCGAGTGCACCTACACAAACCTAGATGGTATAGCCCAGTGGTTGGCAGACTGTGGCTCGGCAAACCGCGGCTCGCGAGCCACATGCTCGCGAGCCACATGTGGCTCTTTGGCCCCTTGATTGTGGCTCTTCCACAAAATACCGACTTCTGTGCATGGTCCACGAAGTTTCAATCGCACTGTACGTGCGCGCCCGCACGTGGTATTTTGTGGAAGAGCCACAATCAAGGGGCCAAAGAGCCACATGTGGCTCGCGAGCCGCGGTTTGCCGACAATGGGTATAGCCTACTCAGGCTGTATGGTATCCTATGGCTCTAAAGCCTGCACAGCATGTTACGGTATTGAATCCTATAGGCAACTGTAACACAGTGTAAGGGTCTGTGCTTCTAAACATAGAAAAGGTACAGTCAAAATACAGTATAAACCATTTTAAAAATGCTACACCTGTATGGGGCACTAACCATGAATGGAGCTTTCAGGACTGGAAGTGGCTCTGCTGGCTATGGCATCACTAGGCAATAGGAATTTTCAGCTCCATTATAATCTTACTAGAGGCCTGGTGCACGAAATTCGTGCACAGGTAGGGTCCCTAGGCCTGGCCAGCAAGCAGGGCTGATCTGTGGGGCGATCAGGGCCCCTGCTTGCACCTGCCTTGGCTGGCCTGGCACTGCCCACTCGCTGGCCCTGTCCCCCACCGCCACCAGTCACCTCCCTCTGTGAGGCAACCTGCGGGGCAATCAAGGGGCCCCACTTGCACCCACCTTGGCTGGCCTGGCACCACCTGCCACCACCAGTCGGGGCCTGTGGGCTGGGAGCAGCTCCTGCGTTGAGTGTCTGTCCCCTGGTGGTCAGTGCGTATCATAGTGTCCGGTCGTTCCTCAGGTCATTCCACCATTCGGTCGATTTGCATATTAGGGTTTTATGTAGATAGATAGATGGGACCACTGTTGTCTGTGTGGTCTATCGTAGACCAAACGTGCTTATGCAGCACATGACTGTAAGCTGAGGTTCCCCAAGGTCATCCTGACGCTTGATAGAACTCAGGCTCTGGACCACCTCAGACAAGACCGCCCCTTGGTGTATGGGGAAGAGAAATCTGAGAGAAGTTCTCCTACCCCTCCCAAACAGTAACTCAGGGAAGACTTACTAAGCTGTTCATATCTGTTCTGCTTAGCTGGGGGCCAGCAGAGGGAGGAGGGATAGGGGCTGGGATCTGAAGGGGAAGGGGCTGCCACTGAGTGTGTGGACCCCTTGGTCTTGCCCCAACTCTGCCGTGGCCCCTCTGTGCTGTGTGGTCCTCCCCCTCCCTGGGCCCACTTGCCCCAGGGATTCATTGCTGCTCCAGTCCCCACTGTCCAAGGCTTGTGAGAAGCTGGTACTCACATGGAACTGAACCCAAAGGGGGAATCAGCGCAACTACCATTGGCTGTCAGTGGTATTCTTAGCTTTACTGTTGTTGTCATTAGCAATTGTAATGTTACTGGAATATTTCAAGAAAAGGTATGAAGATAGGATGGTCTCACCAAGTTAACTTCTTATTCTTTTAAAAAAAATATATATTTTTGCCGAAACCGGTTTGGCTCAGTGGATAGAGCGTTGGCCTGCGGACTGAAGGGTCCCAGGTTCGATTCCGGTCAAGGGCATGTACCTGGGTTGCGGGCATATCCCCAGTGGGGGATGTGCAGGAGGCAGCTGATCGATGTTTCTCTCTCATCGATGTTTCTAACTCTCTATCTCTCTCCCTTCCTCTCTGTAAAAAATTAATAAAATATATTTAAATATATATATATTTATTGATTTCAGAGAGGAAGGGAGAGGGAGAGAGAGAAAAACATCAATGATGAGAGAGAATCATTGATCGGCTGCCTCCTGCATGCCCCACACTGGGGATCGAGGCCCAAACCCAGGCATGTGCCTGACCAGGAATTGAACCAAGACCTCCTGGTTCACAGATCCACGCTCAACCACTGAGCTATGCTGGCCGGACTTCACTTCTTATTCTTGAGTCCTGGTTGTTTGTCCCCAGGAGGCAGGGGTGACATAACCTCCCATTCCTTACTATGTTCCCATCGCTGCATTCCTCCCCAAACCTAGTCTGGGAATGGCTGGGAAGAAGTGAAACCAGGTAATCAATGAATGCTCTTTCCTTCTGCCAATATTGTTGGATTTTCAACAGTAATGAAAGAGACCGAAATCTCTGCCCTGTGGAGTTTATGCTCTACCCAGGAAACACACAATTAACAAGATAAAGGGAATACATGGTATGTTACATGTTGACGAGCGCTATGCGGAAACATTAAGCACAGCGAGGGACCGGGACTGCTTTGGCGCAGGTGATGTCATTTTAAGTAAGATGGTCAGAAAGGAAGGTGCTGGAGCCAGCCTTGCAGATACCTGGGGGAAGAACGTTCCAAGCAATACACGGCATTGCTATTAATGGGATGACATTCTGAACAGACACCCGGGACAGCCCGCAGAACTAGTGCAGAAGAGCTGGGGAGAGAGGGGCTGGTCCCAGAGAGGAGGGTCGGGCGGCTTCAAAGAGTGGAGAGCCCTGCCAGCCAGGGATCTGAGGCAGGGACGGGGTTCAGCAGACCATGACGGCCTGGGGAAGAGGGCCTGCCCCTGCCTGTTGGTGTAAAGCAGCCGGGTGTGTGCAGGGAACTCCCAGTGGGTGTGTGTGCAAGAGGGGAGAGGGCGGCTCAGGCTGGTGGCTGGGGGTCAGGGCTCAGGGCTCAGGGAACTCCCGACAGCAAGGTTGCGGGTGATCAGATTTTTGTGGATAGAAACTTGCCCGCAGTGTGGGGAGTGCCTCTCGTGGGCAGCAGGAGAGTTTAGCATCCTGGACTGTAGATGTAAGAGGGCCTGAGCTTACAGACTTGGGGAGCAGCGAGTATGGTGGGGGAGGGGAAGGAGAGGAAGGAGAGCTGGGGCCTCCAGCGGGCAGCCAGGGCTCCCATCATTGATCTGGGGGCATGGCGGAGTAAGGTGGAGAGCAGGCTTGGGGGAAAGATGCTGATCCTCTGGGGACCTGCTGGCTGTCCGGTGCCTGGGCAGCATCTGAGTTTATGACCCCTCTTAACTTCTGCCTCTTTTCTTCCACAGGCTGCAGCCAGATGTGGCCCCTTGTAAGTCTGGGGTTTGGGCTATAATTTCCAAACTGGGGAGGAGACACCCCAAACCTGTCCTGCCTGCCTTCATGGGAGGGAGCAGCACATCCATCACCCTCACCCTCTCCCCTTCCAGCCAGAAGCCATCCCCACACACCCTACCCAGGGAAGGGGACTCTGCCCTTCCCGCTCCCCACCAGCCACGCCAGGGGGAGCTTCACACTGTGGGCCTTCTGAAGCCCACATGCCTTCCACCCTCCTGGGTCTCCCACAGTCCCAACCCCCTCCCTCTTACTACAGTCTCAGGCCCTCTCCTCTCTGAGGGGACCCTGGGAGTGGGGGCAAACTGCGGCCTTTGTATAGAAATGCTAGGACACTCACTACACCCATTTGGTAGAGGAGGAAAGGGAGGCCCAGAAGGAGCATGACTTGGCCCAAGTGCACAAGGCCAGCAGGACGATGCCCCTGGACCCAGGTTCTGATCCCGGCCCCAGGTTCCTCCCACTAAGCCCAGAGGGGGCCCCTGCCCTCGCCCCACAAGGGGCATGGTGCGTGTCCTGAGTGTATGGGTGCGTTTTGGGGAGACTGTGATGCTACTGCCTCCCCACCTTGGTAACGGCCTCTCTCTGCCCCCACAAGAAGCTCCTGCCCTGAAGGATTCAGGTGCTGCGGGAA